GGCTAACTGAATCTGTAAAAGTAGACCGCTTTCATTATACTTCTTTCTCTCCAAAATCAGAGACGGGTAGGGGGTTTTAATATGGGTGTGGCATGCCCTCTTCATCCTCCCTCTTCTCTGTACCCCACCATTGTTCATTCACGATCACGCATCCTACGAAAAAAGAACCGGCTGCAAGAAGTATATTTCAAAGGGAGAAATATGGATCTGTAATGAATGGATTTAGGTAGTTCACGTAAACTCAAGCAGAGGCACTCTAGGTATGCATGCTTTCATGCCTTAACACTCAGGTTTTTGACCTGGAGATTGCATAAGCAATCTATAGGGTTTTGGTTGTGGGGCAGATTATTCTTTTCTTGGTCTCTTCCAAATTATTGTAGTATTCCCAAGGATACTTAATGGAAATGTTAAAATGTTTTCAATTGATATTGGTACAGGAGCAAAACAAACTAAAATATCAAACTTTAGCTACCTGGGAATATCTTTCACAACCCTTGACGGAAGGCAGGGAAGGGTATCTTCTCTCACGTCAGCAAAATGTTAGGGAGATAGTGCTAGACATGTTGACCTAAATGTAACCAAAATAATCCTTTCTCTTTGCAGACTATTTAGTCAAATTAAGTAGTCACCAATACTAGATTAGTTCACCTACTTTGCTTTTTTCAAGCTCACAAATCTTAACACTCCCTTGTCACCCTTTTGAACAGGCTACCCTCCAAGAGTTTTGTTATAGCTGAAAATAGGTTGTGGAAGTATACTTGTTTCGCTTGGTAACAGACTGTCAATACCCTGACACAGTAAGAACAGTCCTGACAATTTTACTCCTCAAATCTTTGCAATGGACCTTTTCGGTAGCTATTTGAAACAAAAGAAATGAAAATGGCCGCACTTTTACCAAATAGGTCCATTTCTTCCAACTATTTTTCTCATGCTACGTTATCAACTCAGGGTCTGTTAAACTTTATAACCATCAAAAGTTTCTGTTCTCTTGCTGATTGGTTAAAGCATGTCGGATGACTGGATGTGGAATATCTGAATGATATTCGCCATTTTTCAAATTGTGAAAAATGTTTGAATGATAATAACTGCAATAACCCTCCTTTGACTTTATGTGGTCGAATATTTGTCCTTGGGAATAATGTTCCTCGAAGCTCCCAGTGTTCCTCAAGCTTTGCACTTGGAAAACTCTTCTCTTCTTGTCTGCAGACAAATATCCAAGCATATTTTCGCACCAAATAGACGCTATTGTTCTTATACAACACTTAAAAATTTTCACTAGCAAGGGATTACTTGTATCCTGTGAGACAGGTGGGCCTGATTAGAAAAAAGTGCAGACATCAGGGGAGAGCCGTGATGGAAGGAAGGAGAGCAGACATGGAAAGAGAGACATAAAACAGAGGTCTGATAACTTCTGAGACCAGATAACTTGATTAAGATGTGGTTGCCATGAACAGCAGCACTAAAGGCATTCATTTTTTAAAAAAATACTGCAACAGGCTCAAGGTCTTAAAAAACACTTTATTAACCAAATTCAAACCCAGAATACACAAAAAGTTAGCACCAAACTAGCACTCTTGCCAATCTGTAACTTGTGATCCCAATTTTTTTTTTACACAAGGAGAGGGGGCACAATCACAGGCTCGCCAATCTACACATCCATAATCTGTTATTCCAGTTCTGAAATAGAATGGATTAAGCAAATTACAGAGTAACACCCCCCACGTAGCCCCAAATCATTCTTTTGATGAGGCATGTTGACCTCAGTAGAATGGTTGTATGGCACAAAGGTATTAAGGTGGCATTTCCAATTTAACAAATAAGATTTTAATAGCCATGAAGTTTTAGTGAAGAGGCTAGTTAGACAGTCAAGTGTTAACTGTAGGAGGATGAAATGAGGGGCTCAATTCAACAACAACAAAGACAGAGGCAATGGCAATAATTTCATTTGGAAGAGGAAAAAAAATCATCATCCCAAAAGTGTCTAAATTTGTAGACACTGTATGAAGTTACCATCCAGTTAAAATTGGCTTGCCTTCATTACCACCAACCCACCAAGTGAAAATAGCAATTACAATGAGAAGAGCATCGGACCATACTTAGCTGATTCTGAGCAGCAGGTGTTGTTAATGGATACTCCAGTGTCCATCCACCACCACCACTCAGCTTCAAACAAAAAGCAACAAGATTAGTTCAATCAAATGTAAATTGTGGATCTTGGAAGCAGCTGTTACAAAAAATATATATAGGATCAAGTCCAGTCCACACTTAAGGAAATGCTGTGGAGTATGGAATGTCCCCAGCACCCACTTAGAAATCTTGGCAAAGTCATGAAGGGCTTGAGACAGTAAAAAAAAAGGTCAACTATTTTGTAACAGTACCTCTAAGCTCCCAGATAAAATTCACATGACAAATTCAAAGAAACTGCAGATAACTTTCTTTATTAAAAATTTGATGAAGACTAAAACAAAATAATATCAGCAAACAGGCAATCATATTTCTTCAGATCAAAATTCTTATTGATATACATAATTTATACACAATGTCCCTTGGATAAGGATGAAACAAAAACCCTTTACCTTGTTTCAGGGTAGCATCAGCTGTCTTGGACAAGTGTGTGGTGTAATCCCCAGGCAATGCCACTGGTATCATTCAAAACCAAGTGTCACCACAGATCACCTAAATCACAGGGTGGAAAACTGACAGCTTTAGTCCACCCTTGTATACATTTGCTTAACAGTACCTTTAAGAACAAGCAGGTAAATAAAACTAAGGTTTACATCCTATCCTAGCCTTAGCTCAATTTCCTCTCAGTTTTAAATTCCAAGTTCTTAGTTTCAAGTTACAACAGGGCAAATGTAACAGAAAAAAACTAAACTAGAGCCGGAGTGAAGGTTATATGGAAAAAAGTTGATTGCTTCTGCAAACCAAATTAAAATATACTTTGCTCTAAATAACAAATTCTACATAAGAGTGAAACCTCAAATCCCGCAGTTTCAACGTACAATACTCCTACGCTAAACCAACTTGGCCATTTTACTGCGTCACCATGAATAAAATATTAGACCTCTGCCAACTCATCGTCTAAATCAATGCTGCGCAAAGCCTTTTTTAGAATACCCTAAATATCGAGAATGGTTGCTTGTACATAAAATCTAAAATTAACCAAAGTCAACTGCACAAACGAAACTAAAAGACCGCTTTAAGAAATCGAAATAGCAACGTCTGCAACTAAGCTTAACTTTTCAATAAGATGTCTCGAATTCCACGTTGATTTCATCATATTCGACTATGAAGATGCAATTCCATATATATACTTTCGTTACAAACTACGAGAGGCGAGCAAGCCCTATTGTAGAACATTTTAGAGCCTTTAACCTCGAGTTTTCTTCCGCCAATGATTCGTTTTCCCGTTGTAACTTTTCCAGATGTAAAAGCAAAGTGTCTTCGTCAGCGGATTTTTCCGCGAGCGCGGGAAAGCGAGAAACTGACTCCTCTTTCGCTAGTTCATCGCAACGTTTCTGTAGAATTTCTTCTTTTCCTTCTAGTTCTCTATACCTACTAACAAGTTCACTTTTAGACAGCGACAGCAGGCTTTCTTCCTGTATGCGGTTGTAAGTTGCTTCGTAATCTTTTTGGAAGTAGTCCAGATCGAAATCAAGTTCTTCAAAATCGCGAACGAGGTCTTCTTCAGCGGAATCGAAAGCTATGTCTCTTTCCGACAAAGGTGTACCTCGTATTGAACCCGGAGAACTCGTGCAATGACTTGATGGTGAAGCAGAAGGAGAAGGTATAGTGTAGAAAGGTTCGGTCACCTCTTTATCCGCCATGATGAATTGCGTTGTATTTTCGGGAGCCGCCGTTTTGGTTCTTCTCTGCTTCACAGGTATCTCGTTATCACCCGCTCTGTCGACGCCAAATAGGGCACAGTACTTTCGTTTCTTCATTCTTCGTAGTTTCTTCCGTTTTTGTGGCTTAAAGACGACGTTTTCAACCTCCATAATCTTCTTGCTTACATGCATCACACTGACTGTCGTCGTTTTCAAGCACATGGAAAATTTTGCGTCTTGACAATAGTTAACACACAGCGAGTAATCTTTTGAAAGAGGGCCTCAAAAGAAAACAGACTGTTAATTTTGCTTTGAAATTGAACGCGAACTTTTTTTCTCCCACTAAAAACCAATACGCACCTCTTCTCTCGACAAGCTCAAAGAATCGTTTGAGAAACGTCGGTGACGGAACTTCTTTACTTGTCCCCAGTTTCCATAACAACCATGATGACATCACAGAAGTATAACTAATTTCGCTCCATATTTGGTGTTATCATGCTGTTTACCCGCCAGCTCAGGGTCACAATGGCTTGTGGGAAGTCCACGCAGCTGGTACGTTGTGCTACGTTGCATTTTGCGTGAAACGTCTCAATAACGTTCAACTTTTGGAATACGTAATAGGCTAAATCAGGAAAAATGTTTGTTTACCCAAATACCGCAAATGCCTGGTAAAAGTTGCTCACTTGCAAATTTTGGCAACTGCTAAAATTAGTTTTGTTTCCCTTTTCATTGTGACTCTTCCATTTTAGTCCCTTCACATCTTCACAGTCCTTGAAGCTCTCAGCTCAGCAAAGTAGTCCCCAGTCGATCAACGAATGTTACAGAAGTGACCCAACTAGCCTCCAAAACACGCGCAAAAAAAGCCGAACCCACTCTGGCTTGATCAAAGCAAAATGAGTCAATGGCAACATGCCTTCAGGGACCGCGGAAGGGGAGGGGCTGGTAGGGCTTTAGTATTCTGCTTGGGTTGATTTATTTTTTCTAGGAGGGTGTAAAGCGCGGGGGGGGGGG